CGGGGCATAGATGACCTACAATAATGTACAGTATTTGAAAAATAATGTGTTTTTTGAACATTAAAGCATGTCAACATATTCTGTTACACCAAATACACAAAATAATGATCTTTAAAAAAGCATCATATGACCCCTTTAAGTTCACACCAGAGCAGTGCACTCCCAAACCCCATGAAGAACCCAATCATACTTCTTACAGCTCCAGGCAGATGACCTCTCCAGACACAGAAAACATGTGTTAACACTTCTCTAGAATCCAGCTAATGAATCATTTCACGTTCTGTAACCTGAAACGACAATATTTTTATTTTCACTGTACTTTTGAAATAATAGAGTTTGGTATGAGACATTGTAATGTACACAACTCAAAACTTTGGCCTATAAGCATGAACTCCTGGCCAATTAACAGAATTGTAATTTCACTTTGTGTCCTTTTCAAAATCTATAGACATTCTTTTCATTGGATAACAAAAGATTTAATAATAAAGTGTAAACATTAATTAAATATAGCACAGTCAACAGTGAAAATGTACAAACATTAGTGTACATAATTTTTTCTATGATTAAATTGTATTAGTCTATATCAGGTGTGGCGAACGTCAGTCCTGGAGAGCCGCAGCCCTGCAGAGTTTTGCTTCAACCCTAATCAAACACACCTGAACAAGCTAATCAAGGCCTGAAGGGTTACTAGGAAGCTACAGGCAGGTGAGATTTTATTATGGTTGAAGCTGAACTCTGCAGGGCTGCGGCTCTCCAGGACTGGAGTTCGCCACCCCTGGTTTATATCAAAGCTCTGTCAATTTTTTTTTTTTTTTTTTTTTACTTAAAGATATAACAGCAAAAAAAGTCTGTTTAAAAAAAAAAGGTTCTTCCAAAAATGTAAATTCTGCCATCATTTACTGACCCTCATTTCGTTCCAAACCCATAAGACATTTGTTCCTCTTCAAAACATGAATTAAGTTATTTTTAATAAAAATAGAGAGATTTCTGTCAATCCACGGAAAGTCCAGGTAATCAAAACGTTTCAAGCTCCAAGAAGGTCATAAAAGCCTCATAAAAGTAATTCATATGAAGACATTTTGTTTTCACACAAATCAATCACATCGCTTCATAAAATTGGGATTATAAACCACTGGAGTCACATGGATTACTTTCACGATGCCTTTATGACCTTTTTTTGGAGCTTGAAAATGTTATTGCCTAGACATTCCACAGACGGACAAGAATCTCCTAAGTTTTCATAAAATATCTTCATTTGTGTTCCGAAGAAGAACAAAAGTTTTAAGGAGTTGAAACAAGAGGAAGTTGAGTAAAGGAACTATCCTTTGAAGGGCCAGAGAAGATGGAAAACACAGTTAAAACAATCTAATTATGTTTTTTTGTGTGGTGAAAGAACCCCAGACTAACACAATCAACTGCAGTTCAGAGGGAAATAAAATGCAATAGTGTAGAATATGGCTCCTTCTACACTATAATCACTGTTTATGACTTTTAATAACAATAGAACTTTCTGAACGGGACTCATGATGAATTCTCCAGATAATCATCAGCGGATCAGTGTGCAGCCCCTGCCTGACTTCAGAATGTCTGTGTGTGTAAGGTCAGAGATAAGAGATGATATTCTCACAGCAGGGAAGACGTGCCAGCTCTCAGGAATGTGTTCACTGGAGCAAAAGTCTCTGAGTGGCCACAGGCTGGCATACATGCCTCCTCCCCCACATAAACCCCCACCATCACACCAGCCGGGCATCAGGCCAGACATCTGGCACTTAAGCTCCCTCATACCTGCTGCCTGCCTTAGTCCTGCTGTGACCCTTGGCCCTCCACACGCACAAACATGCTCAGTCTCTAAACCCACTTAACCCTCAACACATGACCTACCATGATAGCTTAATGCTAACTGGCAGTTTGTGGAAAAACAGCAGCAAAGTATTATCAAATCTGAGTAATAAGACTAATGTGAACTTGCAAGGATCACGCAAAGAGATCAAAATAGCAACATGGTATGTGAATTATAATGTAGAAGCATTAAAATCACAAGAACTATTTGGATAAATATAATTCTGTTAGGAGCAATATCGTCAAAATGATTGACACTTTGCATACAGTTTGGATTGGCGGAATGGTACTGTTCTAGGTCAAATCTCCCCGCTCATCCATACAGCCTGTCATGAATGAGCAGGGAGAGCAGCAATAACCCCCAAACCACAAGCTGATGGCAAATCTGAAAGGAGAAACATGTTCTTCTGAAATAGCAGAGGCTGGAGCAGCATGCCCCTCACAGGAGGAGAGTAGCAGCAAATGGGTGCTCTTCTTTAATAAGTGGCTAAGAAGAGCAGCATGCCCCTTTAATGCAGTACCTGAAAAGATTAAGCGACAAGCATTTGGTCAATACCCGAAGTTTAAGCAACAAGCATGTTGCCCTTATCCAGATGATGTTGTTAGCATTTGAATATCAACCTTTAGTAGCGAAATTTACACACTGTGCGTTAAGTAACAATTATGTTACCGATATACTAGATAGCTTTAAGCAACAAGCATGCTGCTGTCTGAAACACAGCATGTTGGCAATAACAATCGGATAAGCTTAAAGAAACTAAATTTCCAATACTAGATGAGCCTTTAGCAGCAAGCCTGTTTCATCAATTAGATAGCCTTAAACAACAGCCTCTGCTGTGGTAAGTTTAACTGGGTACCAGAGTGTCGAAATACAACCAATAAGCCTATAGCAACAAGCATGTTACTGAACAACTAGCCTTAAACAACGAGCAATATTTGCCAATTCCCTGATAGCTTTAAGCAATGAGAATAAAAGAAGAAATGTAGCTTAGCTTTGTGAAGACATTCAGAGATGAATAAAGGGTAAAATATAGGCAGCTGTGATGTGGATGCTTGATCCCTTCTTGATATCTTACTCCTTCCAGCAGGGAAGGCAGATCTCGTGTAAACTGTTTTTGATGCAGTCACATTAGCACAACTTCACCAATGTCAATGATATATCACTGCGAGAAGCATCGCTCACTCAGGTTCCAATCTTGCAGCTCGTATCAATCAACGAACTGTCAACAGTCAATCAAACTGTGTGAGGAACAAACCCCTCTCGCAAAATTCCTTTGGAATTCACTGTCTAATTTTCTCCACAGCAAGCGATAAAGCTGCTGAATAATACAGAATAGACCTAATATAGGAATACCGTGATATGCGTCGTATTCCTGAGAGTCAGCTGATGCAAGCTTGACTCTCGTGACCTGCCAGAACTAACGCTATGCTTGATTTTTTGGATTATACTTAAAGCCAGATTTCATGTTCTCAACACATTTACTAACAGCTTGCGCTAGTGCAAACCCTCTTTTGGTGTTAAAAAAACTACTGTAAGGATTTAATAAAGACACAGTGAAAAATTTGTGATGAAAAAGAGTAGAGACAGTTATTTTTGTGGCTGACCTTATTGCATATGCATTTGTAGCAGAATATTTGGTCACACTTTAGTTCAGGGACCAATTCTCACTATTAACTAACTATAGGGCTGCAACAACTAATCGATAAAATAGATTATTATCGATTAAGAAAATCATCGACAACGATTCTCATTATCGATTAGTCGGGTCTGCCCTCAGTGGACGTCCAACTTCAGCTGGTTGCGTCAAATTACAGCACTGAATTACGCATTTCTATGGACAAAATGCATCTAAAAATAGTGGAGGAAACAGAATGAGATGCTGCGGGAGAGTTACGTGATCCAAGCTGCCCAAAACATGAGAATTCTTTATTTTAAGCTTTAAGCTAATGCATTAGCGTAATGGCTTGCCCTGTCAGGTGCTTTGAGAGATGATGCATGTGCGTCCTCAGCGCAAAAACCTTTAGTTTATGGTCATATCCTTATGTATAAATATCACAAATAAACGTGAGCATTTCCATTTTTGCATAACGGTCCGTGCTGACAGTCTGTGTTAAGTTTTAATCTTTACTGAATGAGCGTCAGACAGACGGAAAACAGAGACAATTAATAATCAGCGCAAAAACATTTACTGTGCTGAAATATCTTGGGCGACGTTTAAGGTCAATTAGATGTTCCACAAACCGGTACAAATTTACTTTTGTGCCTGAAGCAATACGTTTATGTAATAAATCTAGTTGATTTAGATGATTTGTTTAATGAATTAATTTTTTTGTTGTTGTTGTTTTTTTATTTTTTTATTTGGTGTATTTTAAATATATGTATGTGTGTGTTAAGTGTTGTATATGTGAAGTACCACGAAAGTCTGAATTAATTGCCGCAAGGGGATTAATAAAGCTCTAAACTAAAAAAAAAACAAAAAAACAATCTGTTGTTGAAAGTTAAATAAAGATTTAACGGTCAACATGCATTGCAAGTATTTTATGAGAGTAACAACTGTAAGGGGATAACAGCGTGTAATTTTCTGAATATAAATACCAGATGCTTCATAACCGCCTATTACAGGGTAAAGAAATGACAGAAAGACATGACCATGGTCAAAGTGAACGTGTGTTCCTGCAGAACATTACACTGAGTTTGTTATTTTATTCTTATTTATCATCTTTATTATTATTTTAATTTTTAATGCAAGATTTAAACTATATTCACTATATACAATGCTTAACAAATTTATTAAAACAAATTTATGTAAGGTTTTTAACAAATTATGGTTTGTGCCACTGCTGCTCTAAACTAACAGTATTGGTGATTACCAAAATAATTTTTTAGTTTTCTGTATTGGATAGTCCTCCAATATGCGTAAGCTCTTTAGTAACAGTAGTAGGCTATTAACAAATTATGGTTTGTGCCACTGCTGCTCTAAACTAACAGTATTGGTGATTACCAAAATAATTTTTTAGTTTTCTGTATTGGATAGTCCTCCAATATGCGTAAGCTCAATGCCAGCAAGAATGCAAGCTGTTATGAAGGGCATAGGAGGTCATTTTTTGTTATGTGAATAAATGCTATTTAGTTGTTTAAGTTTATTTGTCCAATAAATGACAATAAATTTTTTTGATTTAAACAATTTTTTGACAGATTCCTAAAATATGTTTTCTCTTTATTATGGCAGGTGGTCTAATAAATTGTTAAGCACTGTATGTTTTCATAGCATTCAGTTGGCACGTTTGTTTGAAGGACATAAGGCAGAATGTGGAATAGTGTGTTTTTTGTCAATAATTAAAAAAAAAACTTTTTAAAAAGTCGATTAATCGAAGAAAAAATAAATAAATAATAATCGACCAACTAATCGAATATCAAAATAATCGTTAGTTGCAGCCCTAACTAACTATTAACTATGACTTATGTCTCAATAAACTCCTAATTTGCTGCTGATTAATAGTTAGTAGGTAGTTGTTCAGTTTAGGTATGATGTAGGATTAAGGGATCTAAAATATGCTCATGCAGAATAAGGTATCAGTATGTGTTTTAAAAGTACTAATAAACAGCCAATATGCTAGTAATATGCATGCTAATAAGCAACTAGTTAATAGTAAGAACTGTCCCTAAACTAAAGTGTTACCGAATATTTAAATAAATCATTCAAGGTGATTTACTAAGGATTGTGGTAGTCAATTTACTTGTATTTGCACCATTATTTAACACCCAAATACCAACACCCAAAAGCATGTCTTAACCCATTTTGTGCTTGTGTTGTTAGTAGATTACACGCACCTGATTATCATCGGCTCTGCTTGTTTGCAACCCTATGCTAATTTGATTGCTAATTTGATTAGTAGTTTGCGTTGGTCATTGTGGAAATGAGGTGGCTGTGTTTTTTAATTTGTGCACTGTGAGTAGATCACCTGCAGAACTTTCCACCTCTATCAGTGCTTTTATGGGATTGCTGTCACACACATTTGCCCTGTTTAGTAAATCTGGCCTTTAGGATTTTCTCTACGGGCCAGTGGTTGCAGTATTTACTTGCCTTGACAAACAAACAAACAAAAAAATTAAATTTTTAAATTTTTAATTTTTAATTTTGATACCACAGCAAAAACTACCAGTCTAATAAATATAAAGTTCAAACATTAAAGATAAGTAAATAGTTAGTGATAAAATAAGAACAATATACAAGCAATAGCACAAATAAATACTATAGAATAGACCACAGACACAAAAGAAATAAACAGTGCTTTAGGTTTTCAGGTTTAAGAGTAGTATTCAATGTAAGAAATACTACAGAAATTGAATAACATTATCAAATATAAAATAACATTGCATAGTCTTCACTGTATAAATTAAATAAGTGACTTTGCAACTACATGTCAACTACCAGTCATTAGAATAGTAGTAGAATGTCTGCTAACACTTTGCTCATGTTTAACAATAAGAATGCAGACAGCAGCAGGCAAACTAGGCTGCTGTCACTTTAAGACCTAATTCACAGATCCAATATATTGACACATATCTGATTTTCTTAAGACATAACTGACTGTTTGCCAAGACTGGGATTTTGATATATTTTGTTTGTATTTGTCTGACATGAAAGAAAACTCTGAGAATGTCTGAAAGGTGGCTTTTTCTGTGTACTTTGGGTTTATTTAGCTGGTAAGTAGCCATGTCATGACAAAATAAAATCTTTCAGGATGATACAAAACTTGTTGTCATTACCCTGCTGAGATTTTTTGTCTATCCTTTTCTGGGATGTTCCCAATGCATGTGGGATGCTGACCTGTGACGTGGAGTCTGTCTCCGCTGACCTCGATCTTGAGGAAGAGTCTTCCTCTGCGTTCGGTGTGGTCGGTCCCGCACAGACTTGGCACATTCATCACACACTGTTTATGAACGTTCATGTCACAGGCTGAGAACAAGAGAGAGAAACATCTATAAATGCTACAGGATTACACACATTAAAGTCAATATAAAATGACATTCACAACCCAGTTTACTTCCATGGTCTATTCAACAAAACAGGACAGTCAGTGTACAGTGGTGTGAAAAAGTGTTGGCCCCCTTCCTGATTTCTTATTTTTTTGCTTTTTTGTCACACTTTAATGTTTCAGATCATCAAAAAAAATGTAAATATTAGTCAAAGATAACACAAGTGAACACAACATGCAGTTTTTAAATGAAGGTTTTTATAATTAAGGGAAAACAAAATCCAAAACTACATGGCCCTGTGTGAAGAAGTGTTTGCCCCCCTGTTAAAACTGTGGTTTATCACTCTCAGGGCTTGATTTTATATACTGGGAATTGATTTAATTGTAATAAGTTGTCTATATCCACAAGAGTCATGTAAGTGTTCTCGTTGTGGCTTTATAAAATCAAGCACTCATGGTCGTAGAAAGTCCAAAACAGCCCATAGAAGTAATAACTTATGATGTGCCAGGAAATCCCTAATATGGATAAAGGTATCTTGCTATCGTTGTAGCCAGAGTCGGCAACCCATACAACTGGCCATTTATGTTTCTAGAGGTAGCCTCGGTGGAAATGGCTTTTGGGTAGGGTCCCCCTTGGTAGAACTTGTCTTTAGGATAAATTGCATTCCGCTATAATGCAGTGCTAATTGACAAAGTATTTATTACAGTATATAAACTGCCTTATTCTGTGATAAAAATGAAACTATGTTTGTAGTTTATAAACCAATCATAAAATTGTCATTAGGAAAATATAGGAAAACATATTATAGAATACAAATTATTGGTTATTGCCAGCAGTGTATTTGATTTCTTAGCCAATTAAAAGTAAGAGATAAGACAAAATAAAACCTGTCAATAAGACAAAAGTCAGTAAAAAATGGTATTACATTTGACATTTCTGTCCCCCTCACTTCTGAAATGATGGCTATAGGCCCCTGGAAGCCATACATAGACCGCAAACTAGAACAGTTTAGGATGTAAGACTGGTTGTCACAAAAACATGATTTTTCAAATAAATATTTGTAAGAATGTGTGCATATGTGCATATGTGCATCATTATGTCTTATCCACATCCGCTTTATGTTTGTAGGAACAAAGTGTTTTCATCGTGTAAAGATCTGTTGTGTTGACTTTTTTTCTTTTGAATAACATCCACTGATGAATTGTTCACATAAGACATTGAATTTGTATTTTAAAGGTGAACATGATGAATTTCATGTTAACAACAAGCATGTTTGTGCACAAGCAGCAGAGTGTTTTTTACAGGGGGCTTCACTTGGAAAGGTGTATCAATATGGCTTTTGCTGTTGGACAGCAGAACCAGGCCGATGGCAGAGAAAGTGTGTGTGTAACATGCTGAGGCTGAAGTTGATATGTGGAGACAGAAAATCTCTGTGGTGTGTCATCTCAGAGAGGTGTGGATGAGCAGATTGCATGAATGTAATTACAAACATGCTGCTATTCCCACATAAATTACTTCAATCTGTTCTCGTTCAAATCTGTGATAACATTCCCATTAGAGCCAGAGCGCTCAAGAGAAACAGGAATGTTCTGGTTCAAAGAAAGGAGGCATCTATACAAAATATAAGTCTAAGCACATTTGACCTCATTATGGATGAGAAAAGCAGAAACAGATTAATTGTGTAGAGCTGGGGCAGGAGCTGCCCTTTCACACTGATCTGAAGCCAGTTCTTTTTTATTTTGTTTCAGGTTTCATCAAGATTTGGTTAAGAGAAGATGGTCATGCGTGATTGCAAAAGGGCATGATGAGAGGTTCTCACTCACTGTCGCATTTCATCCCCTGGTGGATGAGGCCGTACAGCAGTGATCCGCAGTGGTCGCAGAAGGTGGGACTGCCGTAGCTGTGGATCTTGAACTTGTGCTTGCTTCTGGGATCCTGCAGAAAAGTGGAAAAGAGAGGAATCATTCGCAGTTGGACTAATGAAACAATTCACGGAGCAACTGATGCAAACTATGTGCTACAATAGAGTGCTGCAGGGATGATGATGATTTTAGGAGGCCAAAACCCGGAAATGAGACAGCATGTTAGCACTTTCGGTTCTATATAGTCCTGAAGTTGATAGTTTTTTTTTTTTTTTTGGTTAAATGCCTGAAATAAGGTCTGTGGTGAACACAAGCTTAAGCTATTCTCACATTTTGTTCTATGACATAAAGTATTAGTAATACCCCACTCTTTTACTTTTCTTGAAAAAGGCGTTTCTCACTCTTGAAAACTATAAACTAAAAAACTAAAAAATTACTGGCATAATTTAAATACAGTGCAAACAACTTTTAGGGAAATTTTAATTAAGGTTTTACAGAAAAACACTGTATTTGTTTTACAGGTATCTCCTGAATTATTGCGATCACACACCTTCACTATGAAATAAAATTATTTTAAAAAAAAAATAACGGTCAAATGACTGGCAAATAATAATGGTAAAATTAAAGTAAAATATCAATTTAAATAAAGTGCAAAAATGTGTACAGAAAATTTAATTAAACATTTTACAGAGAAATGCAGTTATTTTACAGGATTTTCCTGAATTATTTCATTGTTAAATGTAAATTTATCACAATCAGTGGTTTGCTAGCTCAAAGTTTGAGGGGAAAAAAACACATATATATATAAAACATGTAAGATTCAGAAACTTTTGTTGTGCAAAGGCCTTATTTTCTGCAGTAATTGAAAAGTCAATGAAAGGAACCAGGGTGACGCTAACTTCCTGGCTGACCTACAGAATACATCACTTCCGCACTCTATGGCAAGACCTGGGCAAAACTGCCAAATACAGTCTGATTGGATGCTTAATGCAACATCCAGGAGACATGGTGCACATGGCTTATCAGTCCACCAAGAAACTTGCTCTCAGAATGCTACAAAAAAGCATTTCTGAGGAAGAAACTAATTAGGATTTTTATATTTCCTGGATAAAGTGTGACTGCTGCTTGCTGGTGCTAAACTTGCTGTTGTGGGTGGTTGCTTTTTCCACTCATTTTATCACATGCTTGGTTAAAATTGTAAGTATGAGCAATAATACTGTCCAGAGGTGGGACCAAGTCATTGTTTTGCAAGTCACAAGTAAGTCTCGAGTCTTTGCATTCAAGTCTCGAGTCAAGTCCCGAGTCAAGATAGGCAAGTCCTCAACTTTAAGATTCAAGTCTTAAACAAGTCATTAATGTTTGATATGTTTATAATGTGTATAATGATATGTTTGACATAGTTCAATTTCATGTGAGATGGGTGCCCTTAGTAAAACTACTCAAGTTCAATTTAGGGATTGTGCCAATATAGGCACAATAAGCAGAGAAAAAAAACTATTTTATTAGTAACAGAATAGCAAAGACAACACAATTTCATAGAAAACAACAGCTGCAACATTTGCATGTGTGCATAAGAATATATGCTTCTTGGTGTTATATCGAAGCCAATGGGACATTATTTGGAACCTCAATGAAACAGATTTAAAAATATGTGAGCGGAAACGCAGAAAGAACTGCTTTGAAAGAACTAGAAGAAATAACTGCAAGCATACTTTGCAAGTGAGAGGAAACATGCAATATGGATGCAGACAAACTCATGAAGACAATCATTCAAAAATGTTGTGCTACCATCCTTTATAACTAAGAGTAACAAAGACAAAATCATTTAAAAGAAAAAATGTTTTACGTTAAATGTTACGTTTATAATATGCATAGTTGATCGCTACATTTAGGGGCTATGTGCGCTATAGGCCTCAGACTGATTTACAACACGTGAATTCATTCATTTATCCTGAAAGAAATGGAAGTGACATGAGTGCCTGGTGAAGAGGGAGAAACATATTTTATAGTTATATATACACAATACTCATTTTGTGAAAGAAACACTTCTTCAAATTATATTTTAAATGATCATTAGGCCTATTGCCGCTTGCTCACAACCTCAATGAAACAGATTTAAAAATATGTGAGCGGAAACGCAGAAAGAACTGCTTTGAAAGAACTAGAAGAAATAACTGCAAGCATACTTTGCAAGTGAGAGGAAACATGCAATATGGATGCAGACAAACTCATGAAGACAATCATTCAAAAATGTTGTGCTACCATCCTTTATAACTAAGAGTAACAAAGACAAAATCATTTAAAAGAAAAAATGTTTTACGTTAAATGTTACGTTTATAATATGCATAGTTGATCGCTACATTTAGGGGCTATGTGCGCTATAGGCCTCAGACTGATTTACAACACGTGAATTCATTCATTTATCCTGAAAGAAATGGAAGTGACATGAGTGCCTGGTGAAGAGGGAGAAACATATTTTATAGTTATATATACACAATACTCATTTTGTGAAAGAAACACTTCTTCAAATTATATTTTAAATGATCATTAGGCCTATTGCCACTTGCCCACTTCAGACATTAGGCCTAATGTGCATTTTTCTTCTTCAAATTATAGCTGAATGGTTTGCAATGATTAATTTTAAATCTAGATTAAATCAAGGTTTATCTAATAATTCTGTTGCACCAAACTTTAAACCTTTAAAAATAAGCAGGTTTACATTTTAACCCATCATTTTGATCCTGGATTAGGGATGTTAATTTTAAACCGTTTAATTTTGACCGATTAATACAATCAGTTAAACGGTTTAAAAAGTCATTTAATTATAAATTTTTTTCAGTAATTTACCAAAATATTTAAAAAGGTTTGCTGCATGGTTAAAATACGCTACGCGTATAAAAAAAATTGTTTTTTAGGGGGAAAAAACATAAGTCGCGTATAAGTCGCATTTTATTGTTTCGTTCAGAAATGCCGACGTGAAATGTTTACAAACATTATAATAAACACTGTAAACATAGCTAGGCTATTTTAGTTCCCCTCACTCCACAACAAATCCTTTCAATTAACAGTATTTAGAAAAGAACGAGAATTAAAAATATAAGAAGCTATAGCAATATAAACGACAAGCCAAAACTAATTAATTAATATAGCCTAGCTATATCTAGCTTTATTATGTTTTTCTCCTCTCGCAGAAGCGCTGCAGGTGCGTGATGTGATGTATATGAATCCTCATGTTCTGTTGTTTGCTGCTTTTTGCGCATGTAAAATGAATCCCCGGAAAACAAATGCTAGTATAGGTCACAGACACTTATCCTTTTTAATTTAATTCAATTCTAATTTAAAATAATCATGTCGGTTAACGGTTAACAATCGGTTAACGAGCGTTGGTTGTCGGTTAGGAAAAATAACCGTAATGAACATCCCTATCCTGGATTTAAGTTATATTTAAGATTAACTTTAATCCTGTTGCACCATTAACTTTAAACTCAGATTTAAATCTCGATTATGGATTAACTTTAAACTTAATGGAAGTTTAAATAAAATAAAATGCACATGCAATTAAAATATGTAATTGATCGAACAAAAACAGTGGAGATCTGACAAAAACAGGTCTCAGAGGTGTTTATTACAAATAAAAATGAAAATTAAAGCACATTGAGTTGGCAGAGTGTGAGGGTCGTGGCGGGATGCGGATCCGTCACTCATGGTGCACCTCGGTGTCGGACAAACAGAAGAAGTGAGGAATATTTAACAGCAGCGGTCACGGTGATGATGAGGCGAGCACCTGTGAAGTGATCGCGGCCGCGCCTCTTGTTTCTTATGCCTGCTCCGTGTGTCTGCTGGCCGACGATCAAAAGGACAGGGCAGCGCTTTTCACGAACAGAGATCGCTACTAGACAAATCATGTAATGTTTTTTTTTTCTTATATCGGTTCTTTTGTCGTAAGTTGTGCTATTACTCCATTAATTTATATTAGCCTATATATCCAGCGCTCCCTGAACGCAGTCTCTGGCTTATTGCCAGTCAAGCGCAAGTACGCTGCAGGGACGCGTCTATAACGACTTTGATCTGATAATAAAGTCTTTCCAAGTCACAGGGCTCAAGTCCAAGTCAAGTCTCGAGTCATTGCTGTCAAAGTCTAAGTCGAGTCTCAAGTCTTCTTTAATTATATCGAGTCGCAAGTCATCAAATTTGGGACTCGAGTCTGAGTCAAGTCTCGAGTCATTGCTGTCAAAGTCTAAGTCGAGTCTCAAGTCTTCTTTAATTATATCGAGTCGCAAGTCATCAAATTTGGGACTCGAGTCTGAGTCAAGTCTCGAGTCATATGACTTGAGTCCACACCCCTGATAATGTCAGAGTTTGAACCTTGTTTTCTGTGTTTTTCTGTTTTCCTGCTGTCACGGGTGCACTGCTGAGCGGACTGAGGAGCAAGGAACGGAGAGAGACGAGGAGTACATTAATCCAAATGGGTTTAATCAACACATGGAACACTCACGCTATACATGACATGAACAATATCGGACACTGGAGCACACACAGGGAACACCATTTATACACATAGGAGGAGGGGATGACGAGACACACCTGGGAGCAATGCGACATCAAGGGAAACACCTGGGACAAATTAACTTAACCAATCAGGACAGGAACAGGAAACTAACCAAATAAGGGCAGGGGAAGGCACATGGGGAGCAAGACACCCACAAAACATGGAACAGAGTCTGACATAACGCCCCCCTCCGGAAGGCGTGTCCTCACGCCATATAACATCCAATGGGGAGGGGGTGTGGGCACTCTGGAGGTCCCTCAGGACAGACATGGGACAGTGGGCCTCCAGAGCGGTACCCGTTCGGCGGATCCAGAGCCTCGGGAGGCCATGGCGGATCATGGGGACTCGGGATGCCATGATGGAGCAGGTAGTTTAGGAGGCCATGGCGGAGCCGCCTCCGAGGCCGCAGCCCCAGCTTCGGCCTCTACGGCTGGAGCCATAGTACCCACCCCCCCAAAAAAAATACTTGGAGAAATGTAGGGGGTTGTATTTGGGGCCTGGAGCCCTCCCTGGGCTGAACGGGG